CTGGTGGCCACCCTAAAAGACTATGAAGCACTTAGTTTAAAAGTTTATAAAAGGGGAAGTAAAAACTGGATGCTAAAGGCCTGAGCAGTTAAAGGTGTATGTAGAAAGGGATCTCAACCTGCTCCTCAGAGCTAATTGACTAGCCTCAGAATAATTTAACTGTAAATGCCTAATCAGGGAGATCTTTTTCTGAAAGTTGATTGTAAACATCCCACAAGATAAACCTTAACTTTATTTTCTCAAGTCCTAGAAATTCACTGAAGCCACTCTCTAAACACGAAGCAGATTTCATGTGGAAAGATAGAGGTTCCTGAATCCCAATATCAAATGTGCTTGGGGAAAAGGAAGATCTGTTGTCTCTGAAATAGCAAAATATGTGCCATGGCTGGGGTCCTTAGCACTTCATTTTCAAGTTCCAGCCTCATTGCAGAGTGAGAACTGAGGAGCTTCTGTGCACAGAACATGGGAGGCAAAGTGGCCCAGTTCTTCTTTAACCCATTGGGAGGGCTGGGAACCTACTGTAGTAAAAGGGCAGTGGTAAGTGGATGTCTGTGTTCTCATCTGGGAAAAGAAATCGAGCTTTCATTAGAATTCCAAAGAAAGCCTTGATCTAATATGTTTATGTCTTTGAAATAGAGGAGGATGCCACAGAGAATAGAAGGAAGAGAGAAATTAATGGCTCGTTTACTTACGCTGACCAGTTCAGAAGAATGACATGAAACGACACAAGGAGTCCACATTTTATGTCACTGTGATACAAAATTAGGGCAGGCTCCAATTTCTTCATGTTATCTTCATCGTCCTCCTGTCCCTATTTTCCTCAATACGCAAACACACACACATCCCTCCCTTTAAGTACTAGGAAAGCATTCGAGCAAGGCAGAGAGGAGGGATGAATCAGGCACAGAGTCTCATAGAAAAATGACTAAAAGCAGACACCTGTCTGCTACATCCTCAGCTATAGACTGCAAGAGCTCAATCCTGAGACTATGTGATATACTCCTAGTACACTGGAAATAAATTTGGAAGTACCCTAACTATGACTAACTGACTTCAAAATGCCTGGTTATCTTTGGATCTTACTTGAATCCCCAATCTCAGCATACCCCAGGATTTTTTCCTTGCCACTTAAATAGTAGCTAGAATTCACTAATCACTTACATGCCAGGCTCAGGTATAAATGCCTTTCAGTGCAATCTTATTTAATCTTTAAAATAACATTGTAGAGGAGTATTTTTATATCCAGTTCACAGATGAGAAGACTGAGTCAGTAACACAAAGGACAGAAGAAATTGAAAGGCATGATGTTCTGGATCAGTCTTAGGAGATTCCTGAAGTTCAGAGAAGTAGGGAGGGGCTAGGGATTAGAAACTACTGGACTGCAGACATAGTCAAGATTTCTGCTGGGCCTTATATTTCTCCATAGAGAAGAACCATCTTGGGAAAGGGCTGATATTCTTGCCAAGATCTACTCCAAGAGAGTCCCTGCAAGTTCTAGTAGAAAGAGCAGCAGCTATGGAGCCAGAGAAAAAGATGTAGTTGGCAGCATTATCAAGCCTTAACAAGCCTGCAGCCACTGGTTGAATGCCTGCCCTCTGTAAGCCACAAGAGTCTTATTTATAAAAATGGAAATGGTAATTGCATAAGAATGTTGGTAGAGTCCAAACGGACAGAGGCCTGAAGCTGTTTGCACTCTGGGCACGGCGGTACACCCTAGCGACTCTGGAGGCTCAGACAGAAGGATGGTTAGTTTAATGAGCCAATATAGCAAGACCCAATCTCAAGAATAGAGAAAAATGCTTTCAAACTCTCTAACAGGCTATTCAACATAAAGCCCAGTGGCTATTGCTGTCCCTTATTCTCTGAACCTTTATTCTGCCTGATTCAGCCCCAAACCACTTCAACTCCTCCACTTCCCATACAGAGAGAAATGAACTTACCATGTCCTCTGCGACCAGGCTGGCTTTCTTGCTTCTGGCCAACCCACTCTTCTTATAGTCTTGCTGCCTCCCCTTAGTGTCCGGCTGCCTCAAAAAGCAACTTCCTATTCACTTTCCAGAAATTCACCACAGCCTTTCCCCTAAGGTTAAAGTGTTGCTAGTGCAGAAGCAATGTTGGCAGCTTGGAAATAGCAGTTGCCAAGGGGGCACCAGGTCACCCTTTCCATGGGAGACTGTCTGGAGACAGGCGCAGGTGTGAATCACGCTTGGACATCCCAGGTTGAGCAAGGCAGGAACAGGACCCACACCCGCAGGGGTCAGGCTTCCTTTGATTATGATAGGAGCCCCCATCTGAGGTCGTAGGTTTGGGAGACTTGCTTTGTGTTAATCATGAAGTCCTAGTGTAAATTCCAGTTACTCTGAACTGTCAGTGAATGTTTAGGATTCCAGTAGTCTTCTGAGGGAACAAAACAAAAATAGAAGCAAAAACTAAGTAGACATAGAAGGGAAAATCCAGGGTGGGTGTCTGGCACTTGGGAAACATTGGAAATAATTTTGAAGTGACATGTCAAACAGATGGGGCCATTTGAAAATACGTCTACTTCTGATATCAAGGAAAAAAAAATAAGGGAAGTGGAAAAGCGTGGTGGCATATGTCTGTAATCCCAGAATTTGGGATTCTAGACCAGCCTGGCACAGATAATTACTCCTCATCTCCACAAGACAAGAAGAAGGGGTTAGTATTTCTATTCTCAGGGAGTGTATGATGTATGGAAACAAGGAGACCGTTAGTGCAACAATTAGGGTTTGGTCCATACAGCTTAACTACTTGAGACCCATTCTTACCCCATCTGTGGTTATCAGGAAAATTATTAAAACTGCTTAAATTCCCTACACTATTTTCTCAACTGTAAACCAGAAGGATAACAATGGACCTTACCTTGCAGGCCTGTTGTAGGATTAAATGAGTTAATACAAAAAGAGGGCTTGAAATAATGACAGACACACAGTTCACACTCCACACATTTACTTCCCATTGCTGCTTTCCAGATGGACAGCAAAATCAAAAACATAATATTTAGCATCAAGTCAGTAAACCACAATTTATGCTCCTGGAATTCTAGTTAGTAGTAGTGGGGATTTTTCTTCACTCACCCCAAAATTATCCATCCCATGCATAGTTTAAAAGTGAGAAGAAATGATCTAGAAGAAAGTCAAAGGGTAAATAGAGATGAATGAATATTTGAGACCACTTTAGCACTTTAGAATTTGGGACCAAGACACAGAGCTTGTCTTCAACAATTTGAAGGACGTGGTCATGAAGAAGAATGGCCACAAAGGAGTAAGGGAAGCTGGGGAGGGAAAGGAGGGGGAATTCTGAGGCTACATGAAGCAGGGACTGAGTCCACACTCCAGAGTCAGACTGTCTGACTCCACTGCCTGACAAGTGTATGAGGTGGGTAAAGCACTGACCTCTGTATGACTCAGTTTCCTCAGCCTTTTAGGTAAATAAAGATAATAGTCACCAAATGGAATGTTAGGATGATTTAAAACCTTAGTGTTTGGAGTAATACTGGGCACAGTGTAAGTGCAGTGTGGGTAGCAGCTTGTATCGCACACACTTGCATCTTCCTCTCTCACATTTATTCTCCTGACCCTCTTTCTGGTACTGCTCAGTTAAAAACAACCTGAGATGGGAATGAGGGAAGGTACTGTATAGAATGGTGGATTCACATTGATAATGTGCTTTTAAGTTCAGTAATATTAAATTGTAGTGAGTATGAGAAAAGCAGAAAAAAATTCCTAGAGAGATAATGTCAGGAAGAAGAGGCCAGACTCTGTGCCCCCGAACAGTCCCACCTCCCCACAATAACAGGCAGCTATCACAAACCAAATAGCCCTAGGAGGGCACAAAGGCTCATTTAAAGAGTTCCAGGACAGCTGGGGCTACAGGGAGACCCTGTCTCAAAAAGACCAAAAAAATCTTCAGAACCATAGTGAAGCAAAATACCAGAAGTCTGCACAGTGAGGATCACTGGTGAGATCACCAAATGGGGAATGCCTGGAAACAAGCAGAAAGGCAGAAGCAGTCATTACCAGCTAGCGAGGTCTCCAGTGGCCCCTAGTGGCCCCATTGTCCATAGAAGACATTGTTTTCTACTGAGATAAAGAACAGCCATTCCAGTTGAAAAACCCTGGAAAGGGAGACATGGCTTCATATACTCCTCCAAAGAAGCTTTTACCATCCTGGGATGGGAACTGGCCTATCATTTTTCACAAGGCCCTGTGTCACCCTAATCTCTATGCTGTGGCTGCTTCGCAAGTGTCTTCACTCCAGATCCTGGTCAGTCTATCCAGAGTCACTCCCTTAAAGATCAACTATCCCTCACCTGGATGTAATCAGCTGCCAATAGTTCCTTAGCAAGGTTGAGGCCCATTGCCTATTTCTCCAACTCTATGCTGGTTTTGGTCTGATTGGGTTTGCATGGGTCTTATGTGTGTTGTCACCATTGCTGCAAGTTCATACACGCACGTTCCCAGGGGCCTGAAAGACTCCATTTCCTTAAGTTCATACGCCAACCCTGAAGTAACCCCTCCCCCTTCCGAAATGGTCCCTAAACTGTGGGTGGGTGAGATTTGATATGGGAGTCCTATCCAAGGACATACACTCTGCCCTCTCTTATTCTCTATACCTTAGCCAGTTGTGACCTTCTATGTGCATTAAACTCTGTTGTATGAGGAAGCTTCACTGGTGAGAGTTGAGGGATGCATTAGTAGTCTCTCTACCCCGTTTCACTATGTTCCACGAGCCTTAGGTGTAGACGGTGCACTACAGATGTGTCACTTAGGGCTGGGCATCTCTTAGACACATATTCTCTGTGTGTGACCAGTTGTGGGAAATTCAGTGTGGGAAAGGTATGGGGAGTGTGGGTGGGGGAGAGGGTCTAAATATGATTAACATGAATTGTATGAAATGCACTAAAATTCAATAAAAATATACAGTAAAAATTGAAAGAGAAAAGTTCTTAAATTTGAGAAAAGATAAATATTCAGGTCACTCAAAAAGCTCCAGTGAATTCAGTGCAAACAAGACTACAGCAAGACTTATAACTAAAGTGTCAAAAATTAAAGACAAAAATCCTAAAAACAAAAAGAAAAAAAGTTTCATGGAAAGTTATTAAATTAGGAAATTGGTTGATTTTTCAGTAGGATCTTTACAAACCATGAAAGAAGAGATTATACAGTCAAAGCATGAGGGAAAATCCACAACCAAGAATACTCTCAGAAGCAAAGAAGGGATAAGTTCTTTCCCAGGCAAATAAAAGCTGAAAGTAGTCATTAGTACTAGATCTGCCTTAAAGCTAAAGGGATTTTTTTCCTTTCTTTTCTTTTCTTCTTTTTTTGCTGTGTGTATGCACACCTGTGCATTTGTGTGTATGTGTGTGTGTGCACATCTGTGTGCAGCTGTATGTTTATGTGGCATATGTGCATGTAGGCCAGAGGCCAATGTTCGTTGTCTTCCTCAACTGATTCTCCATCTCATTTTTCAAGACAGGGTCTGTCACTGAGTCTAGAACTCACTGTTTCGGCTACACTGGCTGACCAATGAGCTCCAAGGATCTTCCCGTCTCCACCTTCCCAGTGCTGGAATTACAGGCATGTGCCTATATGCTGGCTTTTTACATGGGTGCTGGGCCATCCAAACCTGAATTCTAATGAATTCAGAAAGAGCTTGCACATCAAGCTCTTTAATTACTGAACCATCTTCCCAGTCCTCTAAAATAAGTTTTTTGTTTTTGTTTTTGTTTTGGTGTGTGTGTGTGTGTGTGTGTGTGTGTGTGTGTTACCATGTGTGTATGGGGTGTACACATCCTCATGTGTGTGCAGAGGCTAGAGGAAGATGTTGGTGCCCTGGTTTATCACTCTTTACCTTATTCCCTGAGACAGGGTCTCTCACTGAACCTAGTGCTGCACTAGCCACCAACAAGCCCCAGCAATCCTCCCCCTACACCCAGTACTAGGGTGACAAGTGCCTGCTGCCAAGCCTGGTTTTGTACATGCTCTGGGAATTCATACTCAGTTCTTCATGGATGGTTGCATAACAAACACTGTTACCCACTGAGCCATTCCTCAAACTCTCTAAAAGGAATTCTTTAAACTGATAAAAGGATGCTAATTGGTAGTATGAAATATAAGAAAATATCAAAGTCACTGACAAAAGGAAAAATACAGTAAAGTTCAGAATAATTTAGCAATGTAATGATGGTGTATAAAGCACACAGCTCTGCTATGAAATTGATAATTATAGTCTTTTTAACTTCTTACTTGGTGTTTTTAAAATATATATTATTGAATTTTTGTGTATTTCATATTCTTAATCCTACTTAGTCCCACTTCCCTATCTGAACCCCCCCATAGCCCTCCCACAGGACTTCATGCATTTTGTCATGTATGTTAAGGAATTATAACATATATGACAGAATACATGAAATTTGTCAGGGGGAGCTGTGAAGGGGTGCAGATGTGGGAGGGAGCCTAAATATGATTAATATGTATTATATGAAATGCACAAAATTTGATAAAATATAGTAAAAACTTATATAACAATAAGCTTTTAGGAGATGCATAATATACAATGGTGAAAACTGCAATACCAAAGAATAAAGGAGTGAGGAACAAAAGTAGAACTTTTAGTATGGTTGACTTAGGTAATTATCATCTATATCTATACAGTGCTCCATATCAGCCTCATAATAAGCACAAGGCAACAACATAGTAAAACTACGAAACATGAAAGTAAGCATTCAAAGTGGTATGCCACAGAAAATAATCCCAGCCTAAGAAGGCCAGAAGAGAAGAAAGAACTACAACAAACCAAAAAACAGATGACAAAATGGAGGTTACTAATCCTTGCTTCTCAATACTTATCTTGAATATGAATGAACAAAATTCTCCAATCAAAAGTGACTGGATGGATTGAAGAAAGGACCCAACTATATGCTGACTAAAATAGACTTACCTCACCCTTAATATCACATAAAACTGAATGTGAAGAGATGCAAAAAGATATTCCAGGCCAATGGAAACCAAAAAGGAACAGGTGAGACTATAGTTATATCAGATAGAAAAGATTTTAAGTAAAAAATTGTAAAATGAGACAGCTATAATTACATCTATAATAATGACAAAGGCATCAATTGCTTGGAAAGATGCAAATATAAATATATATAAAACCCAAATCAATAATTAATTATGAAACAAATATTGATGGACTTGAAGTAGGAAACAGTGCAATATAATAACAATACAGG